TGGCGCCCTGCTGCTGCGGGCCGGGCGCACAGGGTCTTACCTGTGCGGCGGCTGAAAGGCCTTCCTTACCTGTGCGTAATCCTTGCTTTGCGGTATATTTCTGGACTTAACCAAGTTTTGGGAAACGGTTACCTTCACCAAAGCTCGTGTCGTCAGTTAAGTTGTTCTGACTTATTTAATAAAACGAACGCCGGCTTTATTTAGGAGACGTTAGCCTCTGTGCGTGAAGTTATTTTACAACTTTGCTCGTGGCTCTGTAAAATGAGGTTACTTCCACGGGAAACTCTGTCTTAAAATGTTTGTTACGACTTTAAAATTTCTTCTAGACTTTCTATAAGAAGGTTCTAGCCTAGGCGTACATATCCATATCAAACGTTCTGTTTGTTTCTTGAGTCAGCATTTCTGTAACAGACTTTTACAAAATACTTGTGTGTAGTGAAGGTTGCTCTTTTAGTACTCTCCTAAGGAAGTACAGCATAAATGCGTTATTTTCTTTACAAGTGTGGGGTTTTTTAATACTTTTTGTTTCCAGTCACACCAGGATTTAGCTCTCTGATGTTGTCAGAACTGTGTATGGTGCTTTTACCTCCTGATCCCATTAAGTAAAAGAAGAAAAATGCCTCAAACTACCTGGAGTGTATTTGGAGAAGCCAGATGTAGGAAAAGTAGTTAGGATGCAGAGTCTGTATGAAACTTGGAAGAAAAGTTGAGTAAATGACTGTATAGACAGAGAGCACTATTTGTACCTGGGTTTATGATTGTTTTTGGTGTGATTAGAATGCTTTCAAGAGACCAGTGGGATGATTTTGAAAACCTGTAAGCCATTGTAGTTGCCTTGGACAAGTAGGCTAGTTAGTTTGGGGAAATTTTTACAGGTTGAGGAAAAATATAAATAGTAGTTGGAATATCAACGGGGCAAGGTTCATCAGGGTGCTAATGGTTTGGAATAAAACTTCTTTTCTTGGTGGGAGTGGGAAAGCTGATGTTTGTTTTAGATTAAGAAAATGGAGTTCAAGGCAAGACTGGATTATGCATTTATATATTTTGGGTTAGTTTTTGGACAAGTAAATTAAAAGTATTGTAGGAAAAACAGTATATTGTATTTGAGCATTTTGGACAAGGCTCTCAGGAATTCAGTTTACTAGAAATAATTTTCTATGTAATGCTAAAGCCTAAATCATTGATAAGAGTGTTCTCAGAAAGTAAGATCAATGAACTTTCATGAAGTTAAATTCATTTATTCTTATACCTTATGTACAGACCCGGAAGAATGTAAATAACAAATACAAGGTAAAAAACAGAGAGAAAATATACGCCTACATTGCACATGGGATTCAAATATTAACAACCAATACATTTTGGCAGCAGCTGGAGAGGAAGAAACACTCTAAAATTTTGTCACAGCGAATGTATCCAAGGGAGTTGTAGGAGTCAGTAAGTCAGACTACATCTACCTGGAACTTACAGAAAACTGTGGTGGTATATAAGAGGAAAGATGTTGCACTGGAAGCAAACCAGGGGCAATTTTGAGGAGTTGCAATGGATTTCCGGGGTTGTATTAGAAGAAGAAATTTCAGGAGAACTGAATTTGTGTTCTGTTCCTAACAGCATGAACAAATAAACCAAGTTGCGTTTCTCTTGAAACGTGCGCTTCTTGCTTAAGTGACTTGTAGACCAGTGTTTTTCGGCAGTTTTTAGATAAAAGAGGAATGTAAACTTTTAAAGCTGCTATGACGAATGTCAATACTGCCAAAAAAAAAAAAAAAAACCAAAAAAAACCGTGATAACATGTTGAAAAGGTAAAGAATAAAGTACTCATTCTGCTTTCATAAAAAGAAAACCAGCTTGTGTTAGTGTGAAAGAATCAGTATAGGGCATCTTTGTAAAATATGAGAAGCGTTTGACCTGGAAGCTGGTTGAGCGGAGAGGTTGCTCAGCTAGAAGAAACTACTGGCTTCTGAGATGCTGGATGGTGGGGGTAAAGATGGATGATGTTGTGATAGTGTCATGCCAAAGGGACTTGGACATAAATGGATATGTTAATATTTATAAATACTGAAGAAATAGGTGTACTTTTTTATGTGCACCGACTATCCTGAAACGTTGTGTAGTTCTTTCCCTTGCTAGTAATCACAGAATGATGTGTGCGGAACTTGCTAGTTTATATTTCAGAACACCATTTCTATTGCTGTCGCGTTTTCAGTTGGCAGGGGGAGGAATAGTCATCAGCTTTGTCTGAAGTTCTCGCCTGATGGCAAAAAAGAGAATAGGATAGTCAGACCTCTTTATTCTTAAGTTTGTAAAGCATTAGTCCATCAGATTCCAATTTTTTCCACCTTTAATTTATATACACTGCTACTTTTATCAAATATGCGTTTGATCGCGCTCCTGAGAGCTGCATTTCCCAGTCTTAGTGATGTTTAGAAGGTGTGGGTCATAACTAGGTACTGCCTGTTATTGCTGAATCCTGTACAAGCTTACTAATTGTCACTTCTCCCAAAATGGTTGCAGCAGGAAAAGATGATGCGTGTCTAATTTAAGATAAGTTTTCTTTTCTGAAAGAACTAGTATTTTCTTAAGATTCTTCTGGAATCTTAGAAAAATAACGAAGAACTCTGAAGTTTGCCTATTTTTAAAATAGGTTTAACTGTTTGTGAATGTGTTGGTCTAACTGCCTCTTCTTAAATAAAAGCTCACGCTTTTGCGTGTTAGCAGTCCTTTTAGTGGAACAGTTCACTAACAAAATAGAAAGTAATTTAAACATTTACAGGCTTATAGTTGCTTGACTGATTTTTATGGAGCTTTTCAATATTAGCACAAGTGAAAAATTTAGCTACATCCTTCTGAAACAGGCAGGGACAATTTGTGGTCAGGGATTTCTGCAGAGCTGCATCCCAAGTTTGCATCCTCCATGTTTAGCTCTCAGTAAACAAGCAGAGTCTAAATGGGTAACTTCTTGTTTTTAGCAACAATTTGTTTCCTCTGACTGGTAAGTTATCTATCTCTGTTTCTTCTTACAGAGCTAAAATCATCAATATTTGATGACTGCAAGAAAGAGGAAGAATGGAAGGTACAGCTTTGTTATATATATATATATATTTTTTTTTTTTGGAAAAGTTTTGGAATACTGAAGCAGGTCTATATCTAGTCTATATCACTGAGTATGTAAATACCAAATAAGGGATGGTTAATGGCTGATGGTTTTCACTTAAAATTTTGTTTACTTTCCCAAAATAATGGAACTTTTAGTTCTGTTCACTCACTCATCTTTTCTGTAATGCATAACAAAAAATATCTAAGGGGTAGCATAGGAAAAACAAATGGTTAGTTGTCTTGTCTTAAGTCTTAAAAAAAAAAAAAAAAAAAGTTTTCTCTCTGTTTTTTTGAATGACTTACATCTTATTCATTTCTCTAGAACTTAACGTTGCTGTTTTAATTCCAAAGCGGTCAGCATAGAATTATACTGCTGTGGGATATATATGTAGAGCAGGATTCAACAGCATGATGCTTGTTGGTGGCATTAGCCTAGAGCCTTGCCTGTCGTAACATATTGGCTGTTCTCAGTGATGTGTCAACAGTAGTGAAAATAATGTAAAAGTACAGCTGGAACGGCCCTGACAGGATCTTCTCATCCAATGATCTATTTTCTATGCTAGGAAAGCTTATCTCATTCGAGTGTCTCTTGTTGCAATTTAAGCCGCTTACTTTTGGTCCTCTTCAGCTAGGAAGAAAAGGGAACAAACTTTCATTTTTTCAGCTGACTTTGTATTTGAAGTCTGTTGTCATATTTTTCTCCTCTTTGAACTAAAATAATCCCAGTTACTGTGTGAGGACTTTAAAAAAAAAAAAAAAAAAAAAAGTCTGATAATTCTTGTTGAGCTCTCATGAACTGGAGAGATAAGAAAGTACTTATGCTGCCGTACAAAATACCATGGGAATTCTGCATTTGATTATAAGTGCTCATACTCAAGAGCTATTATAATGGAAGGCAAGATATGTCAGAGATGATCAGGAAAGCTGAGAGCCTTATCCCTTGATGAGCCTAAATGAGATAGGCTCTGTTAGCTGAGAGAAATGATCACTTCCTAAAAATATGTCAGAAGTGAGGGCGAGAAGAGCTGCTTAAGCTGTAAAGCAGTTTTGGAATAAGAACAAATAAATTTAAGCAGGCTATGGAATTAAGGTAGGTGGGAATTAAAAAACTTTTATCAAAGTGAAATTTTTAAGATAACTTCCCATCAGAATAGTGGAGACAAACTACCTGTTTGAGGTATGAGTCCATCTCTTGAAATTCTGTATGCAGGGAGCTGTTTTCTGATGCTAACTGGGATTGAATTCCTGCTTTAAAGTAGCTATATGCAAGTGACAGAAAGATATGGAGTAATAAAATGGGTTTCAGCTTCAGATTTTCATGGCTAATTATAAGGAAATTATATATTTTCGCTATAACTGATTATTTTATCTAAATACTTCTTGATTTGATTTTTATATTTAGATAATTGTTTTAGATGATTACACTACTAAACTACTGTCTCTGTGCTGTAAAATGACTGATTTGCTGGCAGAGGGTATCACAGGTAAGCATAACTTTTTTTTTTTTTTGGTTAATATATAAACAGTTGACAATATCCTAAAAAGAAAAGAGGAAGGAATGAAATTGGTAGTCTTGCAAGAAGTTCTCTTGATTTGGTTGATGAAGACAAGTAAGCATGTGGTATTAGACTGGCAGACCTTCTGGCTTATATAATAATCAGCCAGCTGTAATTTTTTTGAATGAAAATTTAATGGAAATTTTTGAAATACAAAATTTATCCTTCTTTCTTATTCTTAATATTGCTGTAAGCTTTGTTGTTAGTGTCCAGGAAGTTGTAAATTGAGGATATTATCTGTCACAGAGTGAATCTCTGAAGGATGTCATTTGTCAGTTAAATGAAAACAGTAGCTCAGCAAACTTAAGTAAAAACATACAAGAAAAGGCAAATTGCTCTCTGCCTTTTTTCTTAATCTGTTCTATAAATCAGTAATACCTGCTGTTTTGAATGCTTTTCTGCTCCTGAAGAGTAGAGTTAGGAGACGAGGATATAGAAACTTAAGTTCTGAAGATGGAAGGAAAAAAAAAAAAAAGAAGACACAGTAATGGACAAGGTAATGAGGCTTGTTTGCAGGCAAGGGGATGTGATACAGAGTCAGGAATTTAAATTTGAGTTCTAAGTTGTGTAGAAATACTTCAGCCTCTTCAAAACAAGACCTGTCTATGTGTGTGGTTTTTTTCTTTTTTAACTTAAAATTAATTATATTGGTGATTACTTTAGTTAGGATAAAAGCATAAGCTGTGTACAGAGTAATTGCCTTGTCTCATTAGCGGTTACTAATGGATATTTTTTTTGCTCTCATCTATTGGAGTTTCTCTCATGTTGCTTGATATATTTAATGTTGGCCACTGTTGAAAGTGAATAACAGATGGCTTTGTGATAGATCTCAGTTACTAAGTATACCTAAAGAAGACTTTGTGTATTTTATAAATATGTCTTTCCTCCAGTAAATTTCATGTTTTTTTTCTTTATCCCTTCTGTACAATTTCAAAAAACAGATGTTTTGTCTACCATAAAACATTTTTCTTAAGTTTGTTTTCTGATCAGCTTTTCTGTCATGTTTAGTATATCATCCTGTCAACTTACACTTGAAATTGAAATGAATATGTGAAATGTAAATAATCTAGTTCTTAATTAGCTTTAATTTTAGATTTTTAGGAATCTTTCTATCAGAGGGCATATTTTGAATTAGTTTTTTTTTCACATAAGTAACAAGATTGCTTAAGAGATTGCATAATTAGATCCTGAATTTATAACCTGAAACTATGATGTTATTTTGTTTCCATAGTGTTCTGTTTTGCAGTGTTGTTTTCTTTTTTTTTTGGTCCTTTCACATGTATAATATGATAATATGATTCTTTTGGAAGAATAAAAGCACAGCTATATGTATTTCATTTTTTGAGTATATTTTAAATCATAATAAGAAGTACTTATCCTCTGTGAAAAACTGCTGGTAAGCGTGTACTCTGTCCATCAGTATGGACCCTTTCATTTGTAGTGAACACAATACTGAAAAGAACCGGTTTCTCCACATCCAAATGTCTGATATTCTCTGTTTATCATCGTTGTTCCTCCCCTTCAAAATTACGGGGCAACATGAATTCCTCTGTGTTATCGGTCTAGCGTCCTGCAACAGAGATCCCCAAAATGCCTGTCTAATGACTTTACTAAAGAGAGAAGCACAGCTGAGTGAAATTGTTGATGTATTGAAAATGTCTAATTTGTGCATACAATTATGTTGAAAGAGAATAACCGTACAGGAAATGGCCAAACAAAGAACAGAGGTGGCTAGAGGCCAAACTGTTGCCCTGAATAGTTTCATTCCCCTTCTCCTTCAACATGCTGCAAAAAGAATAATCCTGCCAAGGCAGTTCTCTTGCAATGAATTTCATACTGAGCCATATGTTTTGAGCATCCTTGGTTGCCCTATGACTTTTTGTAGGGCAAAACTCTATTTGTATAGAACAGCTAGGAAAACTTGGTCCTTAAATTTAGTCCACCCAGAACTGGAGGTTCAAGAAGACCTATGGTAACTTGTCTGTATTTAGAATAATAATTAAAAATATCAAGGCTTTCTAGGCATAAGACAGGTCCTGGCCACTCATTTTGTAAACATCCTGATTGGCCTTATTTTATTTGTATCATCTGTATGCTAAAATATGTACAGTGCTTTCCTTGAAAGATATGCAAAGCTCTTAATATCAAAATGTAATATTTCTTACTTTGTAGTTGTGGAGAACATATATAAAAACCGTGAGCCTGTCCCACACATGAAAGCAATTTATTTCATAACGCCAACCAAAAAGGTTAGTATTTTTTAAAAAGTGCAGCAAAATCCTTCAGACTGAAAAAAAAAATCTGATTTTTTTCCCTAAATATTTATGTATTCCCTACTACTGTGCAATATTTAATTTTTGCATTGTGTAACACTCTTCTATGTGATACTTATTTTTCTAGAAGCCAAAGGGTAAAGCAGTATCACTATAGTGTGTTGCCGGCACGTACCTTTTGATCAGTGGAGGTACTGTTTTGTTAATTGAGTGATAAACTCAGTGAAGGACATGCTGCATCAAGTAATGATGCAATACATCATAAAACAGAAAATCAACATATGCTTTTTTTTTTTTTGAAGTATTTTTTTTTACCTTCCTTCCCTGCCTTACTTCAAAGTAACGTCTCTAGTAAAAGAGATTACTGCTACTTCCTAATAATTTTTGACGGAACAAATCTCAGCACTTTTGTGGGTAGAAAATGATGCAAGCTTTCTGCTTTGCGTCTTACAGTGATCTTGGCAGAGACGTATTACTGACCTTCTGCCATTATTTTTTATTCTTGGTCTGAATTCATACGTTTTCTATGTCAGTGGGGTTTTTTTATATGTTGATTTGTCCTGAGCTGGACTGGGTAATTAAAATGGGTGTTGGAGGGCATAGAAGAGAAGCTTGTCTGGTGCATTAGGAAATGCAAAACACTAATTTACATTTTTCTCTTCTTTAAGTCTGTAGATGGACTTATTGATGACTTCATCAGTAAATCATCTCGCAGATACAAAGCAGCGTACGTCTACTTCACTGACTGTAAGTCTGTGTTGCAGTTTGATGCCTCTGTATATGTAAATAAGTAATCTTCTTGTCTCACTTCTTAGAATTAAGCGCATGGATGTTTTGCTCTTCAGAGAGGGTTTTGAGACTTAAGTCATTAACCGTATTACAGAGTTGCTTATGTACCAGAAGTTGCTCATCGTGCTGTGGGACAATGATCAGTTCTTTCACGTTTACAAAACAATGATGATCTTCCCCTACCTCAGCTTTTAATTTAGGTAGTCTAGTTTTGTTTTAAAAATATCCCAGTTATTTCATGTGTCAGAAAGTATAGAGGAAGACAATTCAAGTAAAACTGTGTATCTCATA